CGCGCCCTCGCGGCCCCGCCCATCGCAGCGAGTCCTCCCCGCCCCGCCACCCGGTGCCTGCTGCTCCGCTCCTCCGTCCTTAGCCCAGTGTGGAAGCGCGCGGGGGCGAGTCTGGAGGATGGGAACGACGACGGAAAGGAAATCGCTGTCAATCAGTGACTCCTCACCCCGGGTCTTTCCGCTCCCAGCTGGAAAGCATCGTGTCTGTTCGCCCATTCATTCATAAATCTTTTTAAAATTAATTTTATTGGTACTTTAATGCATACAACATAATGACATGCATTGTTGGAAATCTGTACCCTTACATAATCAATCTTAGTTCTTATTTTTTCCCATCCCCCTGCCCTCCCTTCAACTCCTCCCTCCCTCCCTATTTACAAAGACTTTGTTTACATTATTTTTCATTGTCTCATATTAATTCCATTCATAAATAAATGTTTGTAAGTGTCTGCTCCCTCCCTAGGCTTTTTCCTTTCCGAAAAGCTGTAATAACGCTCCCCTCCCGTAATTTATTGTAAACAAAAGAAAAGAACAGGTCGAAAAGCTTGGGAGAGGATACTAGCCAAACAATCGTGGAAACGATGAAATTGGGGGAGAAGAAATGTAAGCTGATAGACTACTTGAAAAAGCTGGAGCACAAGTCCAAGGGCTGCAACAGGGAGGAGTGGGACGCCTGTCACCCTGAGTTTAGAGGAGGGCTGAGGTCGTCTGCCCTGCCCTAAGGGACAGGTCTGTCCGGGTGTGGGTGTGCCGAAGCCCTTCCTGGAGCTGACTGCCTGGGCCGTGCCCCCAAAGCTTCAACCTAAATCGGACAGGTATAGAGACGCGGGTGCTGTATTTAGAACAGCACACATTTTCCACTGGGCCTTTTCCCCAGTAGCAATGAAAATATAGTACAAGTCAAATATAGACTGTGAACGTGATCGCACTTTTCAGAGGTGTTTTTGTCTGTTCTGTACAGTTCCCGAGCTCAAGCAGTCCTGGGGAACTAGCAGGAATTAGTAAAAGCTTATGTAATTGCTCCACCTCGTGGGGTATTTACCTCTCCCACTTTGGTGCAAAAGATCAGTCTTGAATGATTAGCTTCAAGGAATTCTAATTCCAGATTCCCCAGAGAGAACCAATCAACTGGTAGTCAGCTTTTCATGCTGCTGGGTTGAACAACAGCCACAGACAGTGAAGGCTGTTGGATTTGCCATTTATGAAACTAGCCATCCACCCTCAAAATCTTCTTATTTTATATATTTTTCAGCTTTAATTGAGTTTATTGGTACATTTTAGGGATACAGTACAGTTACATTCATTGTTGGGATCCTGTACCTCTACATGACAGGTCTTGGTTCTCATTTTTTCCCTTTGTCCCTGCCCTCCCTTCACCCCCTCCTCCCCTCCCCATCTACAAGCACTTTATTTCTATCTTTTCTTTATCTCACATTTTTTTCTTTTCCCTTACTACCCTTCCCCTATCCATCCCGCCTTCCCTACACCTTTAGCCCCTTTCTTATTTTATATTTTAGACATACTTTTAACAAGTTCTGTATGTTTCATGTTTACTGTGTTTTCAGCATAGACCCTCCTCTACAGTAAGTTCTCAAAAGTATTAGTTGAATGAATGGATGACTGGCTATATGTGCTGTACTCTAAAGATATTCATTTGGCACTGAGGATCTACCTCATAAAGTTTACATTCTAGCAATGTTGAGAGATAGACAATAATCAAATTAGAACAAATGTGGGAAGTGAGATTGTAAATATGATAATGAGTAATAAGGCAGACAAGAGGTATGGGAAAGAAGTGGATTATTATTAAGACATGGCGGGGCGGGGCATGGTGTTGCACACCTTTAATCCCAATGCTCTGGAAGGCTAAGGTAGGAGGATTGACAGGTGGAAATCACCTTGGGCAACTTAGTGACTTAGTAAAATCCTGTCTTAAAAGAAAAAAAGAAAAAAATAGGGATGTAGTTCAATGTGAAGGCCTGAGGTCCAGTCCCCAGTACCACAGAAACAACAGCAACGAAACCCCACTGTCGTTAAGGATAGTACTGACCAAATATGACACACACAGGGTACATGTTCTGAAGCGAATCTGTGCTTGGAGTGTTGGAGGAATAAGAAGAGAGTCAACGTGGCTGGGGCAGAATGAGAATGGAGCAGGGATTGTACTAAAAGGAGTTTGGCTTTTGTACTATCAGAGAAAAGTCCTGGACAATGCCTACGCAAGAGGAATAATAGCAGTGAATGAGAAGGAGGAAGAAAGGCTTTGGCAAACATGTAAGAATTTTCAGACAAGATGCCACGTACATGCTTTTCTTTGTCAATATGTTTCTTGTCAGTTTCACAATTGCATATTGATGGATGTGATAGTTAATTGTGATAGATAATGGCAAGACACTACCACTTTAAAAGTAAGTGAAGTATTATATGTTTAGCTCTTACATTTAGGTCTTCAATCCATTTTGAGTTAATATTATATGTGATGCTACCTAAGAGTCCAGTTTCATTCTTTTGTGTCTGAATAGACAGGTTTTTTTTCCAGCATTTGTTGGAAAGACTAATCTTTCCCTGCTGAATGGTCTTGGCGTCCTTGTTGAAACCCACTTGACCAAGTATGTGAGGTTTTACTGTATATCTTGGCTCTCTGTATGGCAAAGCTGGAGGTAGGAGAGACAAGTTCAGCTTCTCCCATTTCCTGACCCACTACTTTCTGTAAGTGCTGCTTTCCTGAGGTTTGCAAGAAAATACCTCTCTTGAGTAGTAAAGTTGCCCTCCTGGTGTTGCCACTCTCTGATGGTAGCAGACTTTAAATGATGTGTTTTTCTCTTCTGTTGTGATTTGTGAATTCTTTAGAAACCTAAACTCTTTGGGATTCTTCTTACACATCTCCCTTGACAGAGGCAAGGCTTTACCAACGTGCTTGGTTTCCCTCTCAGCCCATGCTTAGGCAGTCTTCACCACCAAGGCTTCTGCCAGTGTAACCCGGTCTATTCCTCTCCTCATAGCATCGGCTCTCTGGGAGCATGTGTGCACCCTTGCCCCTTCCCCCAACTCAGGAAGTGGTCCTCTGTGGAGAGCTGGCTCGCTGCCAGTCTCTCCTGTCAGTGCCTCTTGGATAGAAAGAACTGAGGTAAAGTGATGGCTCCTCCCAGTGCTCATTAAGGCTGTCCTCAATCTCCTGATGAACTTATCACCTTCTGCTAAGTAGTTTGGAGGTGATAATGAGCAAATGTATACAGAACTGGTTCTCAGTGCCACCACACTTCCTCCTGCCTGGGCTTTCCTTTAGAACATGGGAATCCTTTGAGCTTTTTTGTTTTGTGAGGTTACCCCTGAGGCAGAAGAGTTCATTTAATATCTTCCTACTCTGGAGTACTAAGGCATCACAATCTACATTCCGAGCATGTCCTTTGCAAAGTATGAAAAAGGAGGAATGGTGACTGTTTTCTCTGACACTCTTGTTTAAGTAACTAATAACCCCTAGCCTTCTGGGTCGTGCATGTGTTAGCTGAGAAAGAACTTCAACACTTACTAAATCAAGTAATCTCCTTCTTGGGGCTAGGAAAACGACATTCCCTGTCCCCTAACCTTGGTCCTTGTTGAGGAACAGAAGGGGCCTTGAGAAAATTTTGCCCAATGTATCTGTACCTTTTTCTGTTTTAGAAATTTAATTTAGGGAATATAATTTGAACTTTAAAAACTAAAGAATCTAGCATTCTTCAACTTCTAGCTATCATTTCTCTGTGTTCATAATCCTCTTCCCATGGGTGAAATGTGGGTATCAATTTAATGTATAATCTGTGTACTTGTCTGTATACCACCAAACTACATATATTTGCTTTTAAAATGAAATCTCATGTATAGCCTTGCTGGTTTTATTAGCCACTTTCCCATCACAATAACAAGCACCACAGATAATCAACTTATAAAGAGAAAAAGGTTATTTTGACTCGTTGCTTTGGAAAGTTCAGTCCATGATTGGTTGGCCCTGTTGCCTCTAGTGAAGCAGCACAGCACGGGAGAGCACATAGTAACTCAGTGGGAGAGCAATTGCCTGACAAGTGCAAAGACTCAGTCTCCTGCACTGCACTGGAGAGGAAAAAAGTACCATCCAAGCACTGCTTCTGCATCTGAGCCACCAAAATGAAGACATAAGCCACAGAAAAGAAAGACAGAAGATACAGACTTGAGGATGAGGCAGTTCCCAAATCAGTTCATGCTGCAGAAATGTGACTCGAGAGACAGACATGTGAAAGAGTGTTGTTACCAAGACACCTTCTGCTAACATGCCATCTTTTTTTTTAATTTTTAATTTATATTTGTATATGTTTGCAGTATGTAATGGTTACGTTGACTGTGGGGAGTCGGTACATGTAGGTAACACACCTCAATTCTTTTCATACCCGCTTCCCTTCTTCCCCCGCTCTCCCTCCATCTTTTGCCACCTTTTATCTTGAATATGCCTGAGTGAGCCTGGCCCAGATTCTTAGCACCGCCCGCTCAGCCGGGACCTTACACTGTCGAACTCCTCTCTCTCTTCTGGGCCCTGCCACAGGCATCAGCTGGGAGTGCCCCTTCTACATAGAGAAATTCCTCATCAATTTATCCTGAGAACTGAGTTGGCCATGGTGAACTAGAAGCAGGAGACATAAAGCAACCTACTTTGCCAACAGGATGCCTACAGATGGCTGCTACCCAGCCCACACGACAGGCCAGCCGTCTGACTGGTTTCTCTGCTCTTTCATTTCTCCCTTTCATGTTACTCTTCACAGAGCAGCTGGGGCAATCGTGTCACTATTCTGCCCCGACTTCCTATCTCACTCAGAGGAAATAAAGGCCGGAGTCTCTAAAACCACCTGTAGGCTTCTCCACAATCTGACCACCTCCTGACTCTCTGCCCTTATCTGTCTACCTCTCCCCTCCGTCCCACATCACCGTGAGCACACTGGTCTCTTTGATGTTTCTCAGATATGTCAAGCACATGCTGCTCAGGACCTCCTGATTTGCTACCCACTCCCTTCAGGTTTCTGCCCAAATGTTGTCTTTTTCTTTTTTCTTTTTTTGTTTGTTTGTTTTTTTTGAGACAGGTTCTCACTATGTAGTTGAGACTGACCTGGAACTCACTATGTAGCCCAAGCTGGTCTCGAACTCACAGCGATCCTCCTGGCTCAACCTCTGAGTGCTGGGATTACAGGCGTGCACCACCATGCCCGGGAGTTGTCTTTTTCTTAGTGTAAAGCAGATTGCCTCCCTTAAGGGAGCATGCTCTTCCCCCTCCCCAGTCTCCCCCTCCCTGTGGGGAAGGGAAATTTCAATCCCCTCTTTGTGAAAAAGTAGAATGTTACAGAGATATTATGATGTAGTGAGGACCATATGAAGAACACTGGTAACATTATGAGGTCAGGACTTCTGTTTATCTATATGAACGCATAAGCAAGCTGTCCTGCTAACATCCTAATGATGAGTTACTCTGATCCATAGAATGCAATTATTAAGATCAAAAGAATGAGACACAAGCCAAAAAATTGAGACCCCAGAGAAGCAATTGTAAAAAACTGGAGGATTTTCCACTTTGGCAAATTTGCAGTATTAGTTCTGTACAGAAATAAAAGGTTCCCTGCGTCCATATGGATGTCAAAGAGGACAAGCGTTCCCTTTCATTTCAGATTTATAGTTTCAGAGTGGCCTTGAATAAATTTGAAAACTTGGTTGAACAGATAGCAGCTCAAAAAAGAGATGAAAGAGCAGGACTGCTTATCCGAAAAGAAGGTAAGATCATTGATTACCAGGGAAGTCCAGTTCAGTCTGCAAAGTCTTAAAAGCAAAGACGTGAACTGTGGGCCTGAAGACCTGGGTTCTTGTTCTTTCTTAGTTCCTAAGCAGCTAATTAGACTTGGGGGAGCTCTTTGTACAGAACTACTCTGAACTTTGCTGTCTTTACTGTAAAATTAAAGGAATGGATTAAATGATACCTAGTAGTTATTTTGCAGGCACTACCATTTGACAGCTCACTGGGAGACCCGACGCTCTCGGTAGTGCGTACAACCATTTGACAAGCCATATGGGCCACCCTACCATTTCCCTCTCTAAGTGCATCAGGAGACTTTATTAGCAATACAGCATTTCCCTGCTTCGCTCTCCACTGTGAGAGCCACTCCTCATGTTTCTAGGCAGGAAGGATTTGAGTGCGCCAAGGTAAGGGGAATGTAGACATTGTGTTCAGGAGTTTCAGCAGAAGAGAAATGAATACAGAGCTTTAAGTACCTCACCATGACTTTGGCCAAGGGGATTGATATAGTGTGCAGTTTGGGGGCAATGAGGACATCAGTGAGGAACTGGGCTGAAGAGAACAGTCAAAAACCAACATAAATAGTGGTGAGCATAGCTGCCTCCTGAAAACCGACAGAACAAATCCTGCTGTTGCAGTAAAAGGAGCAGGGCCTACATAACTGCGTGGCCAGCCTTTTAATGTTCCCAGCTAGGTAGTCAAGTGTAAGTCTTGCCTTCAAGTGTGCAAATTCAAGCCAGCATTATCTGAATAATATTTAATTACAAGTCATTTTAATAAATACAATTGTATTTAATTTGCATGACAATACGAATGGACAAAGTACCATTTTGTCTTTTATTTGTGGAAAAAGAGGAGGTAGAGATAAGTCATCTGCCCAAGTCACTTTAAGTGTTAAATCTAGGACTCAGACTTTTTAGACAGTTGTGAATTTGGCTTGGCTTTCTAAACTACTCACTGAAACTTTCATTTCCCCCGAGTTTGTTTTACCTCTCTCTCTCTAACTGATTTTCCAAACTCTTACCACTTTTCCTGACTCTTCTATGGGATTTCTGCTACTTCCAGACAAGCTTCCTAAATTATATAAGAAAGGAAGACTAAAGACAAGGAGGTCTCTCCAATTTCCTTTCCTCTACTTCCAAACTACTAAAGCAACACCTGCCCTCCCCTCCGTCCGCCTCAAAATCTCCTTTTTCTACTGGCTTTGTCCTCTCGATCTAAAAATACTCTCAGGTGTCCTGACCTTGACTTTCTCTTCCCTTTAGCTACCACTGTTTGTTTCTCACTTGCTTTTCCACCGGATTTCCACACAGCAAACCCACTTCATTTTCAATTTACCTCAGTCTGGCTTCCCGCATCACTTTGCTGAAAATGCAAATACCTTACCAAGGTAGTCAATAACCTAGTACGCTTGCCAAATTCAATAAATCGTTTTCCCTTTTGCATCCCACATGACAACTTCACTACATTAACACTGTTAGCTACTTTTGCTTCAAGAAATCTCCTCCACCTGAGTTTTTGTCATACTCTTTTCCAGTTGTTTGTTTGTTTGTTTGTTTGTTTGTTTTTCTTTTCTCGGTGTTGCTTGGCTTCTTTTTGTCCTTGAGTTTTGCCTATGGTCATCTCATTCAGTCTTAGGGCATAAACTTCATCTACCTAATCTAAGCCAGATATCGTGGTATGACCTTTGACTGTGTTAGGCTGTCTCTCTTTTGGATTATAACAGCAATTTCTCAATATAAGAGTCTTCTTTACAAAAGTTATTCCTTCTGTATTTCTGCAAGTTTTACTTCAAAAATCGAATCTTCCATATTCCTGGCTTATTAGATCACCTCTAAAATTCATATGTTAATGTGGCGCCCAGCGCCACTCACAGTTGTGCCTCGCCCTACCTTTCCACGTCCAGATCCTATCACTTTCCTTCCTACATTTTTTGCCATGATTTCCAGAACTTCTAATATGACATACATTTTTTGTTTTGTTTTGTTTTGTTTTTGTTTTTTGAGACAGGGTCTCACTATGTATTTGAGACTGACCTGGAACTCACTATGTAGCCCAGGCTGGTCTCAAACTCACAGCGATCCTCTTGTCTCAGCCTCCCGAGTGCTGGCATTACAGGCGTGCGCCACCACACCCAACAACATACTTTAACATACTTTAAATGGCTGATTTTGCACACGTCATTCCCCCATGTACAGTTCCTTGCCTCCTTTGTGTGTGTGTCCACGTGTGCATGCATGCTCCCTCCTGCCTGTGAACTCTTGTTCGTATTTCAAGACTCAAATCAAATGACACCTCTTTGGAAAAACTTCCAAACTTCCCCCAAGCAAAGCCCATCCTTAGTACTGCTAGTGCACTTATTGCTGTCTTAAGGAATTTATCTTCTGTATTTAGCCTGCTGAAATTGATATATATGTGTTCATCCCTGTCTCTTCTCCCCCATATTGACCTATGACTGCTTTGAAGGTTTCACAACCCTAAGGCTACCAGACAGTCTGGTGTCTAGGAAGAAGTGGTCCTTAAATGTGGTCTAAATGTAGATATCAACGTTGCTTTCACTGAGAAGTTTGTAATGACAAAGTTGCACTGAAAATGTCCTTCCTCTATATTTAAAAGCTAGACAAAAACTAAGTGCTGCTAGGAAAATGATCTGTCTTGACTCAGGGACTGGTCTGAAAGTTTGAGGAGAAGATAATATGTAATCATAGCATATCAGGCTCTCATACTATATGAAATAAATCCATATTCATTAACAGGTTTTGGAAAACATGGTCTACTGTTTACTATAGGCAAAGAGCTAAGAACTAGAGAGAATTTTTCATACATCAATATTTATCTAAAAATTATATTAGGAATTTGTCCCAACAATATTGCTCTTAAATCTTGCCAGTGACTTGGGAGATTTGAAATTATTGCAGAACAGAAAAATCTTATCACTTTCATCCAGTGACATTTACAATGAAACATATTTTCTACTGGTTGGTGTGAATTTAAAATTCTTAAGTAACTATTTGTACGTATTATTGGAAGTTCAAGTTTAATTTGACTAAAATGGAATATTTTACTTTCCCCAAGAGGTACAGTCCCTTCCCTGTTGCCCATTTGGGTAAAACAGTACTAACATTTGCTGAGTTTTAACTCAACAAAAAAAGTCATGACAAAGAAGAGTCAATATATATATATATATATATATATATATATGCATTGTAGAATGCTTTTTGAATACCCATCCCATTTGTGATGATCAAAATGTTTCTAAACATTGCCACAATTGCCAAATAGTCCGTGTGTGTGTGTGTGTGTGTGTGTACTGGGGGGGATGGGGGATGGGGCACAAATATCCTTTGGATGAGAACCATTGCTCTAGATTTCTTCCTTTGCTTCACTCACTACATCTGCCCCAAATCCACTAGCAAACCCTTGTGATTCTATTTTGTCAAATCTCACCATGTCCACTGCTATCTCCAGGGTGCCTATATATCACTTGTCATCCAACTGGAGACATTTTCAGCAATCAAAGGGTGTGTGTTGAAAATTAGGTTCAGAGAAGATATAAATGAGACTTTCCATGGCAGCCCAGTATGTACAGTAACCTTCAGTGGCATCCTGGTCCAAACCTCTATTTTCTGAATCCTGAACTAGTACAATAGCCCCAACTAGTTTTATACCTCTCCCCCCTTCACCCCCATATTGGAGATCGAACTCAGGACCTTGCGCTTGTGAGGCAGGCACTTTGCCACTGAGCTAAATCCCCCACCCGGTTTTATAGCTTTTAATGATGCTTGCAACAGCATTTAAAAAACAAAATTTGAGCCACATTATGTCATTTTCATCTGTAAAACCTTCCAGTGAGAGCCTATCGTCATATTTGGAATAAAATACCAACCATGACTCCAGCTTAGGCTCCTCTTTTCTGGTCTCGGCTCTCCGCATTTTTCCAAGTCCCCACTATGCTCTAGCCTCACTTAGAAAATAACAAGCTCTTTCCAGCCTCAGGACTCTGTGTTTATCAGTCTTTGTCTATCTGTTCTTGTCTGCTTTACACATGGCTGATTCCTGGTTGCTCATCAAGTCTCGGGTTAAAAATTTATCCACTTAACTTGACAGACCTTTGCCCACATCCCCTCTGTCCCCTGACACCATATAATTCTATCACAGCTCCTTATTGATTTCCTTTCTCACACCTAACTCATTTTATGATGGCATTTATTTTCATTTCATCGCTGAGATCTGACAGACCCATAAAGTCACTAATCCATAAGGTGCCCTAATCTTAAGTAGAACCATAAATTGGAACATTGGTCAATAAGCCATCCAAATCAAAGCAAAAAATATTTCTAGGATCTCAGAAAGTTCCTTCATGCCCTTTTGCAGCAGTTTTAGCTTCCTACTCTATAAACAGATAACCACTAATTTAACATCTATTAATGAGTCTTGCCTATCACAATATGTAAATTGTTTGTTCACTTGTCAATTTTCTGATCCTTCTACTAGAATGTAAGAGAAGGGATTTGCTGATCTAGTTTTCCATCTAAGTCCAATGTCTAGCTCAGTTCTGACACATAATTATGCTCAGTATTCTTTTGTTAGCTTAATAAAATAATTTGATTTTATCACTACAGTGTTGAGTTCTTAAACTCATGCTTTTGACCTTAGACTCAATAGATTTACCCCAGTGAATCAATATTTTGGCAAAATCAAGATTCAAGTGATGGCGTGTGTTTGCATAGGATCAAAAAACTAATTTATAAGTGCTATTTTCACAGTTATACCTTCCACTTCAGGTGAACTCTAGTAGATATTCCTCTTGGAGAGACTTTCATAGCTGGAAAGAGTAATTCTTTTTTAATTCATTTTCTTATCTTTGTATTCCTCACATAACTTCTAAAAGAGCTGAAACAGAAGATCTGGAAAAGATACAGAACATCAAAGTAAATTTATTTTCTTTTCATTTAGTAATATTTTATCCAAAAGCCAATATGTTTCCAAAGATGAGATTTTTAAAATGCAGACAAATTTGGTTTTCCTTAAATTGAAATAGGGAAATAGAAGCTTAGAAAATACAAAAAGCAACTGATTTGTGAAATGTAGTCTTTGGAATTTAGTGAAAATGTACTTGTGCTTTTTTCACGGCAGATGTGATTGATTATGACAAGTTTTATGCATCAGTGCAGGAGCTCTTTGATATAGAAATGAAGAGTCAAGATGTGAAGTGCTTTTACAGGAAACTCTGCAAGAACCCAGATGCACCTATAGATTGGTGTGAGGTAACCACTTTTCATATTTATAATGTGAAATCTAGGTATTATTTGTCTTTGTTCAGAAAAAATAAATAAGTGCTATTCCCACAGAGGTCAAATCCACAAAGTATATGTGACATGACCTACCTCCTCCAAATATTAAGACGTGCCCACTTTTCATAAAGTGGACAAACCAGGTAGCTGTTGTTAAACATCTTATTGGTGAAGGCTGGGGATTTAGCTCAGTGGCACTGCCCCTCCCTTGCAAGTGCAAGGTCCTGAGTTCCATCGCCAGGACTGCAAAAAAATATTAACTAATTAATTAATTTAAAAAATATAGATTGTTGGTTAGTAGCTCTTAAATACTTTTAGGACAACCTGCTAATTCAAATTAAAAGCTAGCAAGATTTTAACAACCCTCATTACATTCTACATGAAATATTTATTTTCAATAGTGTCAATATGTATAAATTTTTAGTGTGTTCAAATCCTTAATATAAAAGGAAGAAGAGGTTATGATTGATCACCTCTGTTATTCATTGAAGTGTTATCTGATTGGCACAATCAGTAAAGTAGACAAGAGAAAAAGTAATCATCTAAACAATTTGACTATCACATTTAACAAACTGATAGATCTACATAAATAGAATTTTGAACCCAAGACATAGGAAATGTATATCTTGAGTTCAGCTACATAATTGGGGCCATCAAAAAATTGACCATATGTTAGTCTAAAAAGAATATATCAATACTACTAATAAAATAAAATTATAAGTTTATAATAATGATAGTTCAAATCCCAAAACTAACCAAATGAAAAAGGAATAGCTAGGGCCAGGAATTTAGCTCAGTGGTGCCACCACCTCCCTTGCAAGCACAAGGTCCTGAGTTCAATCCCTGGTACAAAAAAAGAAAGAAAAGGGAATAACTAGATTTGGGAAAAATTATAAATAAAAGCTTCTAAGGCTTTAAAAATATATAATTTGAATGTTACATTAATTATTTAATAATTTAGGAAAAACAAAGCTATTCAATTTATTTTAGGAAGCTACAATGACACTGAGTTGAACAAAGAAATTATAAGCCTGTATTATTTATTAATTTAAACGTTAAAGTGCTAAATAAAATTTTTAAAAGTTGAATAAAGTGGTACATTAAAAATTCATTTCCAAATCAAATTTACTGCAGAAAGTTAGGATGGCTCAATATTAGAAAAGTCATGAGCATATTTCTTTTAACAAATTAGGAAGGAGAAATAATGAACTCATCTCAATCAGATATCAGCAAACTAAGGCCCATAGACCAAATCTGGACAGCTACCAGTTTTTGTAAATAAATTTTGTTTTAAACACAGTAATGCTCACTCATTTACAAATTCTCAATAGCTGGTTTTGAGTAATAATAGAACTGAATAGTTCTGAAAGAGACCAGAAGATCTTAAAGACTAAACTATTTACTAATTGGCCACTTTCAGAAAAAGTTTGCTGGCTCCTGATCCTAAAATAAAAACAAAAAAGATATTTGATAAAAATTCAGTAGCTATTTTTGCTTTTAAAAGAAAATCTTAGCAGAATAGGAAGTACAGGGAATTCCCTTTACTTGATAAAAGAGACTGTATTTGTTCTTTTTTGCTATTGGAACAATTTACCATAAATCGAGCAACTTAAACACACATTAGGGGTGGAGATCTAGCTCAGTGGTGTCACAGCTGCCTGGCAAGTGCAAGGTCCTAAATTCATTTCCTTAGAAAGGAAGAGAGAGAGGGGGGGAGGGGGAGAGAGAGAGAGAGAGAGAGAGAGAGAGAGAGAGAGAGAGAGAAGGAAAGAAAAGAAAGAAAGACAAGAGAGAGACATTATATCAAGTTTTCTTTGAATCAGGAGTCTGGGAACAGCTCAGCTTGGTTGTCTAGTCAACGTCTCATCAGGGTACAACCAAATTGTTATCTAGGCTGTATGGTTATTTGGAGATCTAACTAAGGAAGAAACTCCTTCCAAGTTTATTCAGGTTGATGACTGAATTCAAGTCCTTGCTGTTACAAAACTGAAAGCTTCAGCCAACAAAAAGTTGCGATGCCCTCAGGCATCTTTCCTACTGTATTGATGCAAATTACTTGACTACTTTTTAACCCCAATCTTTTTAGCAACCAAACTCTCCTTGGCCCCAATTTTACACTCTCAACTTTATAGCCTTTTCTGACCACAAGCAAATTTTTTTCAAATTATTCAGCTCTGCTTTTTGGTACTGATTGTCACAGTAGACATGGCTAAAAGCGGTCAGCAGTATCTATGCCACAGCCTGAATGTTGGGTTGCCTTGAAATTTTTCTCTGCAAAATAAAGTAGTCCAATGCCCTTAATTTCAATCTCCCACAAAATCTCAGGACATAGGTAAAATGACAAATTTTCTGCCGGAGTATAACACACATGACCTTGAGTCCAACTGCCAATGGGATCCTTGTTCACAACTCAAATCTCCTGAGCCTGGTCTTCATTCTTTCCATTCCTATCAGCATTCTGGTCTTCAGCACTCTGACCAAAATCTCCTATTAACCTGAGCTGACAGCATTCTAAGGATTCTCCAGCAGGCATCTCCAAACCTTTCCCAACTCCTCTTTCAAGCCAGTTTTAAGGCTTCTGAATCAAATGGTCAGATATAGTTACAGTAACCATCCCACTTCTTTGGTACCAAAATCTGTCTTAGTCACTTTTTCACTACTGAAACACAATTCCCAACACCTGCAACTTAAGGAAGGAGAGGTTTATCTTGGCTCACAGTTTATTTCACAGCAGGCCTGCTCCAAGGCAAATCATTAAGGCAGAGGGGAATAGTAGAAGAGAGCTGCTTATGTCACAGCAGCTGAGAAGCAGAGAAGTGAAGGCAGAGTGGATGAGGGAGATATACCCTTCCAAGCCACCCCCAGTGACCCACTTGGAGCCAGGCCCCACATCCTAACATGCAGTCAACTATGAATGCATCAGTAGATTAGTCTAGTGATGAGTATAACACTGCCGTTGATCCAGCTGTCTTGTAAAAGGCCTGCCTCTGAGCAGATGAAAGCTTTGGGGGACATTCTAGATCTAGATCCTTAAAAATATATGTCCAATTTCTTTCTTTCTTTCTTTTTGTTTGTTTTGACTTTAGAGATGAGGAAACTGAGCCTCCTTTTAATATCTGTGCCTTCTCTTTTCCTTTCCAATTAGAAAGTCATAATCTTACATCGTAAAATGTGCTTTTTATACATCTTTTCAGGTTCTCATTTAATCTTCACCATAAATCTAATATAGATTATGGAGGATAATGTCATTGCAATAAACAGATGAAGAGAAGGAAGCACAGAAAGGTTAATTGACTTATTGAAAGTCACACAGAAAGCTTATTTTCATTTTGGAGCTGAGATTCTCTCCTTAACTAGTAACATGTGTTATTACCCTGTTTCATCCTGTGGGTTCCTCTAAATCATATGCAAGTTTAATAGAAAAACTCATCACCAGCCTCTGACATACTTTATCTATATGAAGAATCCACTGAAGTTTAAGAAAATTATTCAGGGAAGTTCTTCTTTTATTCTGACAGTTTTTCTAATAATCTGTGCCAGTGCTCCTAAGAGGCTTTTCTATTTCAAGCTATGTGACCTAACCTTTCTGGTTTCAGATCTGTCATCTATAAAATGGAAATTCAGGGCTGAAAGACTCTCATTCCAATATGCATTACTCAGAAAAAAAACTTATCAGTTAATGTTAACCTGTCAGGTAACTTGAACTAGATTTACTCCTTATACTCAGGCACAGATTCCAAACATAAATCTCTTAGTTGTAGCAATGCCATAAGAAATGGCACTTTCTTTTCCTAGGTCTTGGGTGCAAACATAATGTGACATTGACAGAATAATGAAATCTTAAAACTCAACTAAAACATAACCTAGATCTGCCCTTCACCTTCTGAGAAAAATTAGATGTAAAGATAACTAAGGAAATAAGATTACCCTAAATTTATAGAGCTAATCACTGGGAAGGTCTAGGGCAGATATGATCTACTTTTCCTAAAACACCATATATGATAGGCTGTGTTTTCAGTTAACAACTCCTAAACATTTTTTGGTAGGAGTCCATTACAAATTAATTCAAAGAAGAGTCATACACCACCATATGGAATGCCTAAAATGTATTCCCCACAGCAGTGAATTTAAAATGAATTATTATATGGCTAAAATTATGTTTGCTAACTTCAAATATGTTAAGAAATGTTCCAGAGTAGGGTAAAAAAATAAGTTACATACAGGTTTTTATTTTCTTCTACCTGTTTTTCATTTTCTCCATATCCTTTACAATGAACATATGTTCCTTATATAACCAAGCTAAAATGTAATTTTAAAAATGAATCACCTTACTGTACAGTTCTGAAAGCTAAAAGAAAGGATATTGAAAATTTTCACCACATTCGTAAAGACTATTATGTTTAACCTGATTTAAACATTATGCATTCCACAGCTATTGCACATTAATTCCATACTATCCCATTAATATGTACAATTTTATGTTATACATACTTATGTATATTTAATATTTATGATTTTTATGTATCAGTTAAATTTTTTAAAGACAAAAGAGCTACAAAGATTACAAAGGAGTCATTTAAAGCATGGTCCAAGCCCTATAAATAGCATATTTAAAAGAAAATTAATATTTCATTAGTCATACTATATCTCATACTCTTAAAATACACCATGTCACAATTACAATTATTAGACTCAATTTTTAAGATATTGCAAAAGGAATTTAAGATCATTGAGGCTACAGCTCATCATAGGAAAAGATGTTTTCTGCACTTTAACATTATTTGTTTGAAACATTTCCTTGCAACACATAAAACTTCTGCTGTCTCTTCTAAAGTTTAATTGGTATAATACCTTACAATTTCTCTCAATAAATTTTAATAATGATATTTTTACTTTGGAAGTTATTGTGGGGTGCATGTTATGTTTTGTTATTACTAAGAAAAATAGCAAAGTTGATCATTTCTATAAGAACA